CGTGGGTAGGGCTGGTGGCGACGGTAGGGGCTGGGGCGACAGTGGGGCTGAGGGCGTGGGTAAAACTGGAGGTGTGGGGGAAGGATGAGGGCCTGGATAAGGGCTGTGATGACGCAGACATGGATAAGGGCAACACCTAGCAGCCAGGACATAGGACCTAGCAACAAGAACAGTTCACGAAAATAACATGAACAGAGAAGAACATTATATACCTATCTATCTGTCTATCTGTCTATCTATCTGTCTATCTCTCTGTCAACCTATCCACAAACACAACACACAACCACACACAACAACAATTATATCTGTCTATCTATCTGTCAATCCATCTGTCCATCTATCTATCTATCTATGTGTCTATTTATCTGTCAATCTATCTATCTATCTATCTATCTGTCAATCTATCTATCTATCTATATATCTGTCTATCTATCTATCTGTCTATCTATCTACTTGTCTATCTACATATTGTCTATCTACCAATAAATCAAAGTCTGTTTCCTCATTTAAATACAAATTCTTCAAAAGTGAACAAAACAATAATTAAGACTCAACAAACAACAATAAGACTCAACAAACAACAATAAGACTCAACAAACAACAATAAGACTCAACAAACAATAAGACTCAACAAACTACAATAAGACTCAACAAACAACAATAAGACTCAACAAACTACAATAAAGACTCAACCAACAATAAGACTCAACAAACAACAATAAGACTCAACAAACAACAATAAGACTCAAGTAACAACATAAGACTCAACAAACAACAATAAGACTCAAACAAACAACAATAAGACTCAACAAACAACAATAAGACTCAACAAACAACAATAAGACTCAACAAAAAACAACAATAGACTCAATAAACAACAATAAGACTCAACAAACAACAATAAGACTCAACAAACAACAATAGACTCAACAAACAACAATAAGACTCAACAAACAACAATAAGACTCAACAAACAACAATAAGACTCAACAAACAACAATAAGACTCAACAAACAACAATAAGACTCAACAAACAACAATAAGACTCAACAAACAACAATAAGACTCAACAAACAACAATAAGACTCAACAAACAACAATAAGACTCAACAAACAACAATAAGACTCAACAAACAACAATAAGACTCAACAAACAACAATAAGACTCAACAAACAACAAAAGACTCAACAAACAACAATAAGACTCAACAAACAACAATAAAGACTCAACAAACAACAATAAGACTCAACAAACAACAATAAGACTCAACAAACAACAATAAGACTCAACAAACAACAATAAAGACTCAACAAACAACAATAAGACTCAACAAACAACAATAAGACGCAACAAACAACAATAAGACTCAACAAACAACAATGCTAACAAACAACAATAAGACTCAACAAACAACAATAAGACTCAACAAACAACAATAAGACTCAACAAACAACAATAAGACTCAACAAACAAACAACACAACAATAAGACTCAACAAACAACAATAAGACTCAACAAACAACAATAAGACTCAACAAACAACAATAAGACCAACAAACAACAATAAGACGCAACAAACAACAATAAGACTCAACAAACAACAATAAGACTCTACAACAACAATAAGACTCAACAAACAACAATAAAAACTCAAATAACAAACAACAATAGACTCAACAAACAATAAGACTCAACAAACAATAAGACTCAACAAACAACAATAAGACTCAACAAACAACAATAAGACTCAACAAACAACAATAAGACTCAACAAACAACAATAAGACTCAACAACAATAAGACTCAACAAACAACAATAAGACTCAACAAACAACAATAGACTCAACAAACAACAATAAGACTCAACAAACAACAATAAGACTCAACAAACAACAATAAGACTCAACAAACAACAATAAGACTCAACTAACAACAATAAGACTCAACAAACAACAATAAGACTCAACAAACAACAATAGACTCAACAAACAACAATAAGACTCAACAAACAATAAAGACTCAACAAACAACAATAAGACTCAACAAACAACAATAAGACTCAACTAACAACAATAAGACTCAACTAACAACAATAAGACTCAACAAACAATAAGACTCAACAAACAACAATAAGCTCAACTAACAACAATAAGACTCAAGTAACAACAATAAGACTCAACTAACAACAATAAGACTCAACTAACAACAATAAGACTCAACAAACAACAATAAGACTCAACAAACAACAATAAGACTCAACAAACAACAAGACTCAATAAACAACAATAAAAGACTCCAACAAACAACAATAAGACTCAACAAACAACAATAAGACTCAACAAACAACAATAAGACTCAACAAACAACAATAAGACTCAACAAACAATAAGACTCAACAAACAACAATAAGACTCAACAAACAACAATAAGACTCAACTAACAACAATAAGACTCAACAAACAACAATAAGACTCAACTAACAACAATAAGACTCAACTAACAACAAAGACTCAACTAACAACAATAAGACTCAACAAACAACAATAAGACTCAACAAACTACAATAGACTCAACAAACAACAATAAGACTCCAACAAACAACAATAAGACTCAACTAACAACAATAAGACTCAACTAACAACAATAGACTCAACTAACAACAATAAGACTCAACTAACAACAATAAGACTCAACTAACAACAATAGACTCAACAAACAACAATAAGACTCAACTAACAACAATAAGACTCAACAAACAACAATAAGACTCAACTAACAACAATAGACTCAACTAACAACAATAAGACTCAACAAACAACAATAAGACTCAACTAACAACAATAAGACTCAACTAACAACAATAAGACTCAACTAACAACAATAGACTCAACAAACTACAATAAGACTCAACAAACAACAACAATAAGACTCAAAACAACAATAAGACCAACTAACAACAATAAGACTCAACTAACAACAATAAAAGACAATAAGACTCAACTAACAACAATAAGACTCAACTAACAACAATAAGACTCAACAAACAACAATAAGACTCAACTAACAACAATAAGACTCAACTAACAACAATAAGACTCAACTAACAACAATAAGACTCAACAAACAACAATAAGACTCAACAAACAACAATAAGACTCAACAAACAACAATAAGACTCAACAAACAAGACTCAACAACAACAATAAGACCAACTAACAACAATAAGACTCAACTAACAACAATAAGACTCAACTAACAACAATAAGACTCCAACTAACAACAATAAGACTCAACTAACAACAATAAGACTCAACTAACAACAATAGACTCAACAAACAACAATAAGACTCAACTAACAACAATAAGACTCAACTAACAACAATAAGACTCAACTAACAACAATAGACTCAACTAACAACAATACCAAGACTCAACAACAACAATAAGACTCAACTAACAACAATAAGATCAACAAACAACAATAAGACTCAACTAACAACAATAAGACTCAACTAACAACAATAAGACTCAACTAACAACAATAAGACTCAACTAACAACAATAAGACTCAACTAACAACAATAAGACTCAACTAACAACAATAAGACTCAACAACAAACAACAATAAGACTCACTAACAACAATAAGAATCAACTAACAACAATGCAAACAACAATAAGACTCAACAAAACAATAAGACTCAACTAACAACAATAAGACTCAACTAACAACAATAAAGACTCAACTAACAACAATAAGACTCAACTAACAACAATAAGACCAACAAACAACAATAAGACTCAAACAACAAACAACAATAAGACTCAACAACAATAAGACTCAACTAACAACAATAAAATCAACTAACAACAATAAGACTCAACAAACAACAATAAGACTCAACTAACAACAATAAGACTCAACTAACAACAATAAAACAACTAACAACAATAAGACGCAACAAACAACAATAAGACTCAACTAACAACAATAAGACGCAACAAACAACAATAAGACTCAACAACAACAATAAGACTCAACAAACAACAATAGACTCAACAAACAACAATAAGACTCAACTAACAACAATAAGACTCAACTAACAACAATAGAATCAACTAACAACAATAAGACGCAACAAACAACAATAAGACTCAACTAACAACAATAAGACTATCGTATCATCGTGGTATGACTTTGGCAGGAGATTGGTATCCCCGCATCCCCTGAGCAACGCTCTTGTGCATTATACAGAAGACCGACAGCCGCACACCCTTATCCACTACCTCCTAAGATGTCCCCACACACAACGCTTCCGTGACGCCTGCTGGACCACCACTCCGACTGACGGAGACGATGATCCTCCCCATACTGGCCAGATATTATGTAAATAATATTGATTATGTGTTAAGGAATATCCTTCCTTCCTTAGGCTTTAGTAAGCCCCTTTATAATATTTATACTGTATATACTTGTGACACTTGCCAGATGCTTCTGGTGTCATTGTACAGGGGTACCTAGTGACAGCACTAGGATCCCGCTTCCTCTATCAAGGAATAAACAATTGAAAAAAAAAAAGACTCAACAAGAATAAGTCTCACAGTGGTTCCAGTAATGATCTATCATATTTAATACTACAAGGAAACAGTAATTAAGGTGTGTAAAATTCCTTAACTGTCTATAAAAAAATATATATATCGTGGTGTATTTTAAGTCCAAAATGGCCGGCAGTCGACTATTTTAAATTAAAAGAAAATATTAAAGGTAGTTAATCTTCTTGTTGAAATTATCTCAATTTATTTACATATAATTGTTATCTGTACGGGTATTTGGCCAGACAGACAGACAGACAGACGACTGGCTGGCTGGCTTTAACAGCTGACGAAGAGCAATCCTAAAGTCCAATAGTAGCGGAATAATATCAATAACACACACACTCACCCAACTACACGACAAACAGACATTAACTTTACGACACAAGGAACATTAAATTAACTCACCTATCCCTGGGAGGCTCCATATCGACCTCAAACGTCTCGAAGGTGTTAACATTCTTGAAGTTGAGTTCCTCCTTCGGCAGGTTGGTGTTCTCCCAGGAGGGGGTGAGACGCACTGGCTCCACCCCCCCGAGGAATGGCTGCTTCTCCCCGCCACCCTCGCCTGTACAACAACAAGAAAAATGCGTCAGTAACAATCAGTGAATAAAGGAACACATCAAACACACAACAGTACTAATTAGTGAATCAAGGAGCACGTCAAACACACAACAGTAACAATCAGTGAATCAAGCAACACATCAAACACACAACAGTAACAATCAGTGAATCAAGGAACACGTCAAACACACAACAGTAACAATCAGTGAATCAAGGAGCACGTCAAACACACAACAGTACTAATCAGTGAATCAAGGAACACGTCAAACACACAACAGTAACAATCAGTATCACATCAATACAACTAACAATCAGTGAATCAGGAACACGTCAAACACACAACAGTAACAATCAGTGAATCAAGAACACGTCAAACACACAACAGTACTAATCAGTGAATCAAGGAACACGTCAAACACACAACAGTAACAATCAGTGAATCAAGAACACGTCAAACACCAACAGTAACAATCAGTGAATCAAGGAACACGTCAAACCTACAGTAACAATCAGTGAATCAAGAGACGTCAAACACACAACAGTCTAATCAGTGAATCAAGAACACGTCAAACACACAACAGTAACAATCAGTGAATCAGGAACACGTCACACACAACAGTAACAATCAGTGAATCAAGGAACACGTCAAACACACAACAGTAACAATCAGTGAATCAGACTCAAACACACAACAGTACTAATCAGTGAATCAAGGAACACGTCAAACACACAACAGTAACAATCAGTAAATCAAGGAACAATCCATACAATCAATAAAATACAGTAAATTAACACTCATACAATGACACAACAACACACATACACTAGGATACAGTCTGTATTGTACCAACACAGTACAGGTGAAGTAAGACTGAAATATGCAAAAAAAAAATCTATTTCCGAACTGTATTCCATCAGTAAATACTATCGGTGATCCTTACCTAAATATATCATATAAGACTCGTTGTAGTGAGGGAATTAATAAAATAATGGAAAACATTTTAACACATTCTGATATTAATTCATATATAAATAAAATAAGAGAAAATGGGTATTTTCTCACCATGAAAAAGAAAAACTGAGCTCTAGCAGTTTAAAGGATGAACCTCGCTAGAAGTGAAGTATATGTGAATAGTAGCCAAAAATACACAATGCTCATGCACAATACGTAATTTAAATGAATAGAATATATATAAATTATGAAAATACATCCTAAAATACAATATCAGGTCTTTAGAACACTATAAAATACAAAAACAAATAAATCATTCTGAAAATCAACTTGTTACTGCACCACCGTTGTAACTCACCCACTCTGTAGCGTCGCTCGTGTTCAGGTGCTGGCATCTTAAAACACGTCCACTTATCCACTTGAAGACTTTATCAAGAAGAGTTCACTCACACTTAAAGGAACACTTATGGGAACACCACACACTTTATGCTCACTCTCATGACACACTGGAGTTTATATTTATTTTATTATTCTTCACTGAGAGCGACATCAAGGTTCTCACATATCAAACTTTTCTAGAGTATTCTGTTGATATTTTGGATTTCTTTTAATATTAAATTCTCGTCTAAAATACCACTGACATAAACAAATTCTCAAACATCAACAATGGTATTAAAAAACTTCCACGAAGAATCACATCCACTTTGACAGTACACTTATACCAGAGTACAGTACTAAGGTCACTTCATTACACTCTCCGCCCATAATGTGTTTCAACAGCTGTAATACACGATAATATTAGCGTCACACAACTACTGTTTCCTCACTACAGAACCAGGTAATTAACTCACGAAAATAATAAAGAATTGCTATTAACGTGGAAGCGGATTCACTCACGAACGAAAAAAGATTAAATCCGGAACAAAGAAACAAGATTTATTATTATTATTATTGTCATTATTATTATTATTATTATTATTATTTATCTGTACTATTATTGTAACTATATATATCATTTTATAGTGAAATAACAATAAGAGTAAAAAACAATAAACATACTAACGATAATAATAACAATAATAATAACAATAATAATAACGATAATAATAACGATAATAACAATAATAATAATAATAATAACAATAATAATAATAATAATATATAATAATAAATAATAATAATATAAATAATAATAATAAAACAAAAATAAAAATAAAATAAAATAAAATGAAAATAAAATAATAATAACATAATAATAATAATAATAATAATAATAATAATAATAATAATAACAATAAAATAATAATAATAAATAATAATAATAAATAATAACAATAACAATAACAATAACAACAACAATAATAATAATAATAATAATAAATGGTGGTGTGATGATAGTGATAATGGTGGCAGTGAGATGAACTGACAGGCAGTGACAGGCAGTGACGGTGGTGGTGATGGTGAGATGGTAGTGGTGGGGCTGTGGGGGGGCAGGCAGCCGACAGGCAGTGGTGGTGGTGATGGTGATGGTGGTGGTGAGCAGTCAGGCAGTGACGGCAGTGGTGGTGATGGTGATGATGTGATGATGATCAGTGGGGAGAACAGTAAGCCAGTGATGGTGGACGACGACGGTGATGATGGTGATGAGTGTGATGGTGACGGTGGGGAGTGTGAGCGGTGGTGAGCAGTGGTGAAGAATGAAGAATAGCAAACAACAACCCAACAACAGCAACAACAAGAGCAACAAAGCAGAAAACGACAACAACAACAAGCAACTGACAACCCAACCCAACAACCAACAATAACAACACAACAAGCAGCAACAACAACGACAACAACCCGACAAGCAGCAACCAGCAAACGACCAAACGGCCACAACAGCACAAGCAACAGCAACAAGCCAACAGACAGCACAACAGCCAAACAGCCAACAACGAGCAAACAACCCAGCCAAATGACAAACAAGCAAACCAACAACCAACAAACAAACAGCAACAACAACAGGCAACAACAACCAGCAACAAGCAAAACAGCAACGACCGAGCAAGCAACAGCAACCAACCCGACAGCAACCAACAACCAACGAAATGACCAACAGCAGCAACAACCAGCAAGCAACGACGAAAACCGACGACAACAACAACGATAACAACACATAAATCAAGCCAATCAACAGATGATAAACAATCAAATAAAAACAAACAACCAACAACAGTAATCAAAATAATAATAATAATAATAATAATAATAAAAAATAATAAAAAAATAATAATAATAAATAATAATAATAATAATAATAATAATAGTAATAATAATAATAATAATATATAATAATCACAATAACAACAACAACAACAATAATATATAATATAATATATAATAATAATAATAATAATAATAATAATAATAATAATAATAATAATAATAATAATAATAATAAATATATATAATAATAAGCTTGTTTCCGTGCCAAACAAAAGTCAGTATGCCTCACGGGTCAGGTCTTGTAGCAGAGAGGATTTCCGTTTCCTAATTATCCACTAATGACCCACACGTATCCGCCATCCCATCACTCCCACCTCACCCATTCATGCCTTATTTCCCTCATACTTTCCATCCCTTCACCCAACCACCTCACTCATTCCCTCATTAACTACTGACTTATATCACTCATTCCTCATTCACTCTCTGACTTATTACCTTATTACCCTCACCCCTCATTTCCCTCACCACTCACCCACCTCCTTACCCTCACCACCTTCCCTCACTACCCCCCTCTTCCTCACCACTCCCTCCCAGTCACCCACCGAGAGACGAAAAACAGGCCAGGTAAGTTTATTATCTTCAGCCACCATCTATGTAGGTTACCTGGGATCCAATCAAAAGACATCACGGGTTAAAGAGTCCCTTGTGGGGGAAAACCATTCTCAGTTAAGTCAGTCAGGTGATTAAGAGAAAACAATGATGCACACACACACACACACACACACACACACACACACACACACACACACACACACACACACACACACACACACACCCAGTTTAACCGGTTTACTCCATTTCTCACGAGTTAATGTGATCCCTGGCGGCCAGTGTGACAAAGCCTAAAAAATATTGCCAAATATCTTCATGTCTTCATCAGTACGGCAGGTGTTGGAGGTAAGGAAGGTGGACACTGATTAAGTCTGTTTACCTGTTGATTCTGACCTTATGCTCGAATATATTGGTGGTCTGTCTGTCTGGTTGTACGTTTGTGTCTGTCTGTCTGTCTGGTTGTACGTTTGTGTCTGTCTGTCTGTCTGGTTGTATCTGTGTTCTCTTCTGTTGACGTTGTGTCGTCTGTCTGTCTGGTTGACGTTTGTGTCTGTCTTCTCTGGTTGTACGTTTGTGTCTGTCTGTCTGTCTGGTTGTACGTTTGTGTCTGTCTGTCTTCTGGTTGTACGTTTGTTCTGTCTGTCTGTCTGGTTGTACGTTTGTGTCTGTCTGTCTGTCTGGTTGTACGTTTGTTCTGTCTGTCTGTCTGGTTGTACGTTTGTGTCTGTCTGTCATCTGTCTGGTTGTGTATCTGTGTTTGTCTGTCTGTCTGGTTGTACTTTTTCTTCTGTCTGTCTGTTGTACGTTTGTGTCTGTCTGTCTGTCTGGTTGTACGTTTGTGTCTGTCTGTCTTTTTGAACGTTTGTGTCTGTCTGTCTGTCTGGTTGTACGTTTGTGTCTGTCTGTCTGTCTGGTTGTACGTTTGTGTCTGTCTGTCTGGTTGTGTATCTGTGTTTGTCTATCTTTCTTAACCAAATCAAACCTAACCTACCTTACCTTACCTTACCTAACCTAACCTAACCTAACGTACCCTAACCTAATCTAACCCCCCACAGGTGGCATGAGAGTATTTAAATCAAGTAAAATAACCTCTGATGCTTAAATCTCACATGACTCAATTTATAAACCGCCTACGATAACCATAATTAAGTGAATGGACATTTTTTCCACACACGTTCCCAAAGACAGTTAAGTATCCCCTTGTTATGTTTACTTCAATGTCCGTTTTCTATGGTGTTGTCTCGGTGTTATTTTTCACTAAGGCTGTAGAAGGTCGGTGGAATGTGTGTTTGTGATGGAAGAATGATATGACGTGGATCATCCACCCCCCCTCCCCACCACACACATATAGTTCCATAGCTTACAGTCCCACAGAAATATCCCCACATCTATAGCCCTACACATTCATGGATACCCACACACACATTCCTACAGTTCTAATTGCTCCTCCCACCCCACACACACACACATAGCTACAGCCACAAACAAGCATTCTCCCCCACACACACACGCCCACAGTGCCAACATATATAAACAGCCCCACAGTGCCAACATATACGTAAACAGCCCCACAGTGCCAACATATAAACAGCCCACAATGCCAACATATACACAGCCCCAGTCCCACACCCCCCACAGTCCCACACCCTCCACAGTGCCAAATACACACAGCCCCCACAGTCCCATACACACTTCCACAGTCCCACACCACCCCACACACCCTCAGTCCCAAATACCCCCCCACCCACACACACCCCGACACTCCCACACCCTCTTATTCCCACCCAACAGCCCCCTCCCCACACGTCAGCTATACAATACATTGAAGGCACTACAACAGGAGGGACTGCCCAGGTAACAGAAAGACTCATAACAGGTAACTGAGCTGTACTTTCAACTGGACGTCTCGCCAGATTTCTAAATGTAACCTTTTATTTTCTTACATTGTCAGACACGTTAACACTGAATAGGTTAAGTATGTGACCCGGACCCAGTCTAACCTCTCTCTCTCTCTCTCTCTCTCTGTCTCTCTCTCTCTCTCTCTCCACAGGCTAAGGTGTGGACGTAGCCTCTCGTCACACTGCTCGAGGCACACACAACTCACTCACACATAACACCTCAAACAGTGACATATCTTATCAATGAAAGCGACTGACTCCCTCCTTATCGATGCTATAATAACTTGACTACACCGATCACGTAACACACACACACACACACACACACACACACACACACACACACACACACACACACACACACACACACACACACACACATGGGACCCAGAGCATGTACAGTTATGGACAAAATTCCCTGAACACTCGGTATTATCTGGCATCGTCTACTTAAGGGTAATATACCACGACATGAGACGAGATGACAAGTAGATGAAGGTAAAAAAGCACAAAAGTACACTAGTGAAGCCCTTAATACAAAAAAGACGCTGTTTTAACCTTACTTAATGTACAGCCACTGAAAGAACTATTACATGCCACTCCTGTTGTCTCGGTACGTTGTCAAAATCATTCCCTCCGTTATGTCATATTTTTTCAACACAATTTTGTATAGATAGGTTGTTACTGTACTTAAGTCAAGGTGATAAGTACAGTAAAGTACAATAAGCACATGGGTAAATAAAGTACATGTGAGGGCTCCATTACATGTACAGATAGTTTAACCCTATTTAATGTACAGTAAATAAATTAAATAGCTGTGCAGGTGTTGGCCGATATGCTCCGAAATTTTACGTGTGACTAGTGACAGCCCTCATATACCAAATTTATCGTCCATGGTCTCATATTGTTTCCCACAAAGTATGCACAGATAGTTGTTTTAGCTACTGTACATCAGACGAGAAATGAAGTACAGTACAACAGGTACAAGGTAGTAGTAGCCTAATGTAGTCTCCAGGACACAGTGGTAGGCCAAGACATCACCGTATAGGAACTGGTTTAACATGA